GAGTGTGTGTGTGTGTGTGTGTGTGTGTGTGTGTGTGTGTGTGTGTGTGTGTGTGTGTGTGTGTGTGTGTGTACTCACGTGTATGTGTGTGTTTTGGTTGATGTTACTTGGAGTTAGTGAATATTATACTATGTTTATATGAACATTCTCATACGTTAAGATTTTGGTAGTGTTGACGTTAAGATTTTGGTAGTGTTGTAGTCCTTTTCATCACAGTCAGTCCATTGATGATTAAGAAAAAAAATCCAATTTTGTCATATCCTGTAATGGCCAGCCTGCGTCGATAGTGTTATAATATACAAAAGCTAACGAAAAATGTTTGGTTCTGAGTAACTTTCAACAAACGCAATCTATTATCCATCCATCAGTCGATGCATTTATTGTCTTTTTATCCACCAATGTATTTTTACACCTCCGTGTGTTTCGTCATTCCACCCTTCCTCCCATGTATTCATGCACTCATATATGACCGTAGTGCAAGCAAAGATTCGTTGCCCAACTTATCCTCAAATAATATCTCTTTAATGGGTAAATCAATGTCGCCCATACTTTGCACAGCAATTTGTATCAATTTGTCCTAACTTAATCATAATATTTTTTCACAACAGCAGAAGCTAGGGTTTTTTAAAATTAAATTCTTTACAATTTTTTTTAAAATACTATAAATCACCGTCGCGCGGAAAATGGGATTGTTCACAACACTTCCTGCTTCTCTCATTTTGCATACTCATAAGTCCTACGTTACAGCTCTCCAATGACAACTTTTAGTCTGAAAACTTGTTACAAGAAATTAATTTTATAGTGAACACTTGTTTTGCCCTAAATGTTCTCAAAACATGCATTCAATAAGCATAATGTCACGATTAGAAAGAAATGATGGACATAGTTTAGAAAACGAAATTGCCCCTGCTGTATCCTTTTTCAATCCATAGAAACCACGGACTGGGATTTTTAATTAGCATTTATTCAGGGGTTTTCTAAAATACTATTAACAGATGTTTGCCAAAATATTGATCTGTTAAGTCAAAGTGATACAAGTCATTGTGCAAATCTGGAGACTTTATGTTCGATAGTTGAGGAAAGATTTGACAATACCTTGTCCCACGAATTTTTGACCGCTTTGTAGTCTAATATGCGTTTCCACTTTCTTCAATACACGAATCAGCATACTCAAGCCAACGCTCGGTCTTTTAGCACATGCTCTTGTTTTCACATAATATATGGATATTTTAATTTCGTTCACCCATCCATCATTCAGTTGTCCCTTTTATTCATTCAACCATCTTTCTATCCTTATCTTCATTCATCCTTTCATCCATCTGCCATTCCCTTCGTCCACCCTTTCATCCATACATTTCTCCATTCATCCATCTTCCAGCCATCTACCCACTCTTCGAACGATAGAAAAATAATTGCTTGATGTTTCTGCATATCAGTCAATGGGAGAAACCCAAGTCTAAGAAACGTAGAGGGAACTATTGTGGAGGCATCACATCTGACACGGCAGACATGAAGATCATTGTGGACCGCTGCACAAGATCCAAGCCTTTCATCTGCGAATACCATGACAGTGAGTGTGGAGTTCTGTTTGTATATGCTTTTATCTATTTATCTATCAATTAACCGATCCATCCAAATATCCATCCATCCACCTACCCACTATCCATCCATCCATTTATCCATCCATCCACCCAGGGGCGGTTTGTTGACTGGACAAGACCGGCGGTGCCGGTCAAATTTTTGTCAACTGGACAGTTGACAAAAGATTTATTGCGGATGATGATTTTCATTCAGTTTTAAGTAAATCCAAACAAACATGTATCAACAATCAAAAAGCGCCTTGCCGATTTGAAGGCGTTCAAATAGACAAGTGATTCACAGCTGTTTTGTCGCGTTTGTTTATCACGCCGGCTCTAAACTGTTACAATTAAATCGTCTCCTGTCACGTCGCGGAACTTCGTGCGAGGACAAACCGAACACGGCTCGCTCAGCGATGACGTCAGTCCGCTGGGCAAATCCATTGACAGTCTGCAGAGGGAATAGAACATCCCTTAATTGCCAAATTGGCCTCTGTGTTGCTTACAAAATTAAGAATGAGACTGTCTTGAGCAGCACGGACACATGTATTATTTTATCAGCAATACATGTATTTATCATTCAGCCTTTCTCTATATCTATTATAAGAACATTTATTGTCAGCATGGCACTAATCTTTTTTTGTTTATTGAATTTTTAGCCACCTATAGTTCCTGTTTGGTATTAATTCATCGCTTTTTCCCCACTAAAAACTTACCTGTCCCATAGGAGTCTGGCCGGCGAAAGGAGGAATCGTCCAGTTAAGATAATATAAGGAGAATTATAAAGAGGAGCGATAGGCACTCGGCTGTCACAGTCTGGGCCGAGAACAGTTAGGCCTACCCTTCCCTTCCCTCCCCCTTTCCACTGTCACCCCAGCAAGACACCAAGTTCTATAATTAGCGTTTGACACACTTCCCCACTTTGTTACAACAGTGTTCTGTTCTGAGAACTGGGAAGTGCAATGAAGAACGTTTGATGATATAATGATTGGAAGCTGTTGTGTGCTAACTTTGTCCAGCTTTGTATAGTATCTGATTGTAGACTTGATCTGCATGGGACAGCGTCACTGGTACAGTATCAATTGACTTTTTGTCATCATACACTTTCAGTTTGTTTTCTAGGATCGTTGTGTTCCTTTTTCTGTGCCGATCAAGTCAGTTTCTATTAGTCTCAGTAACTTCCATCATACGTTATTCGTAGCTTTGTTTCTTGACACTACCATATTTTAGCTCTTTAACATTATATTATAATGTTTACAAAGGTGTGTGTGAGTTGGGGAGGGGGTGGGGATGGCGAAAGTAGGGGGGAAAATGAGAAGAGAGGAGAAAGAGAGAGAGAGAGAGAGAGAGAGAGAGAGAGAGAGAGGGGGGGGAGAGAGGGAGAGAGAATGTGTGTGTGTGTGTGCGTGCGCGCGCGTGCGTGTGTGTGAGTATGTATGTGTGTGTGAGTGTGTGTGTGTGTGTGTGTGTGTGTGTGAGTGTGTGTGTGTGTGTGTGTGTGTGTGTGTGTGTGTGTGTGTGTGTGTGTGTGTGTTGTGAAGGAAGGGGGTGGGGGGAGTGAGAAAGAGTCGATGTGAATGACAGCCGGTCAGTTCTATAAACCACGAACCGCCACTGCATCCATCCATCTATCCATTCATACATTTATCTATCTATCTATCTATCTATCTATCTATCTATCTATCTATCTATCTATCTATCTATCTATCTATCTATCTATCTATCTATCTATCTATAAAAATGGTTTCAATCGTATAGGTTTAACGGCCCTATCAACACTGTTAGGTTATTAAGAGGCGGGACCTCCGACTTAAACGTCCATTTCCGAAAGGACCAAGCCTAGTGGGAAATTCGAGTAAAATGCCTTTCCCAAGGACACGAGGTCTGGCCGGGCTGAGGCTCGAACCCCCGATCCCGCAATGTCACGATTACGTGTCCGGTGGCCTTACCACTAAGCTACCGACGTCACCTATCTATCTACCTATGTATATTAAGCATGTTTATGTTTAAGTTTATATATATATATATATATATATATATATATATATATATATATATATATATATATATAATATATATATATATTATATACATGTATTTTATAAAAAATATATACATATATATATACACAATATTATATAATATATATTATAAATATATATAAGTATGCAATACTTATTAAGTATCCAATATTGTTCATGTAAAATATAAAAAATTCTTTCCCCAGTTACACCAAGACCCACCGTCGATATAACTACCACGGATGGTGGGATTGTAGACGCAGTCAGAGGTACAGATGGTGCCAAAGACGTTTTCAAGGAATCCAAACCAACACGTAACATACCTTCAACTCGGCCTGTGGAAAATGAAAAGGAAGAAAGAATCGTCGGACTTGCTGATAGTTCTACGGATGTTTCGTCCCTGAAGTTCCCTACGGGAAACGGTCGCCAAGGTACCATCACAACTCAAAGCACCAGCGCTTCCCCCAAAACGTCAACTTCGAAGCTTATTGAAAGAGCTGAAGTTTCCCAAAAAGAGGTAACGCCTAAGTTCAAAGAAAGTTCCCGAGCCACACCTTCTTCACCGAGCACAGAAAGTACCTCAACGACAGCAACAACGACAACAACAACAGCAACAACAACCGCAGCAACAGCAACAACAACAACAATAACAACGTCTGAAGCATCCAGGAATACCCGCGATGACTCGTACAGCTCTCACGGCAAAGGAATGGAACTTCCCCACTCAGCGTCTGTGGAGGATCAGGCTACAACAGCCAGTGTTCGGAGGGGGTCTGTGGGCAGGTTCAGCAGCTCATCAGGAAGGTCTTCCAAGAAAATGACAACGTCACGCCAGGAAACGACCCAAGCGCTTGGTTTAATTGGAGGGATTTCCTCAAGCATGGAGGTAAATGCGGTGACTGAGCTTGTATACTTTTGCTTTCTTTTTTTTCTTTTCTTTTAACTACTGTTGTTTTTACATTTGTTTTTATATTAGGGGATTGTTTTTCTTTTTTTTTTTTTTTTTTTTTTTTTGAAGGGGGGGGGGGGGGGTGCTATTTTGAGAATGCATTTTATATGTTGTGGGCATGTGTTTCGTAGAAGAAGAAGAAGAAGAAGAAGAAGAAGAAGAAGAAGAAGAAGAAGAAGAAGAAGAAGAAGAAGAAGAAGAAGAAGAAGAAGAAGAATTACAACATTAATACAATAACAAATAACAATAGCAATAATAACGTCTCAAAAACGACTACTGTATTGCAGTGAAATGAACAAAAATCATTTGAAGGCGACAACAGTAACAGTATTAATTATGACGATGAAGATGATGATGGTGAGGAGGAGGAGGAGGATGATGACGATGACTTTCTATCGAGTGCATCTCTTCTAAAAGAAAGAGTAAAAAATATTTCTTTCCGCTTAGTCAAATCTAATAAAACGTTGTACGTTGATGCAACCTAATCCCTTTTCCCCCAATTTCTACACAACTAGCTAAACATGGAGTGCACGAGTGCGTTTCCAGATTCCGTTGTAGCTAATTCAGTGCATCTTCTATCTCCCACCCTGCAGACTATGAGGTCCTTTACCGATATGAAAAGCACACCTCCGAAAGTTGCGGCGTCTTCAAGCACAACTCACGCCATATCCAGCAGTAGCGAAGTGCCTGTTCCTATGACACCCTCCCAGGTCTTTTCCGAGGACAGAGATTATGCAGGTATAACTACGACTGACCTCACGAACCCAGGAAACAACAACGACAACAACAACAACAACGACGACGACAGCAGTACCAGCAGCAACAACAACAACAACAACACTGATGATATAACAGACGTACGAGAGGTGGAGACCTCAACTTTGGATAAGAAGACTACAGGGGGAGAGGTCGTGTCCCCTCAAACTGACCAGCCGGACACCCTGGATAAGTGGACCGACCCAACGTTTCCGACGACGCCAACTGCCGTGCCGGAGACGGAGGACGAGGAGCCGGCAGTTGGGCGGGTGAAGGAGCGAAAAGAGGAGGGGGACGGACAGAGTATAGTGGAGGAGGACGACGAAGAGGAAGAGGTTGAGGTGGATGTTACAGAGAGTAGCACAAAGAGGAGTTCAGCGACAACCAGAGGTTCAACAAGGACTGAGTGAGTACTTTAAAAAAAAATTGTTGTTGTTCTATTTCCTCATATCGGTTTCTTTTGCTGTGTTTATGTGTGTGGGAGAGGTTGGGGGGGGGCTTGTTTGGTGTTGTTTGGTTTTGGCTGTTTTGCTAATGATCTTTTATTTTTATCGCTTCAGAAATTATTGAGTTTAAAATGGTTAATACTTTTGGGGTGGGGGTAGCTCTATATAAATGGGGAGGGGGAGTGCAAACAGCCCTCTTTTTCAATACACAAGTTGTAGGAATTCGTGTTTGGTAGCGTTTTAAAACTACGGGTAAAAAAGTAGGTAATGTATTTGCATCTGACTATGTTGGGCTTTCGGGTGGGGTAGGGGGGGGGGGTATTCTCATGTTACTTGAACTAAGTTTCAAAGTGACTAATCTCATTCCTTTTACAATTATATATCATCAATATTTTCTATCCTATTTTTTGTTTTGTTTTATTTGATTGCATATTATTATGCCCAGTACATTCCTTTCCATCGCTCACTTTTGTTTTCTTTCCTTGAAAGTCCCTCTACGACTTCCACATCCCGAAAGACGAAACCTACCCGCACCACCACAATAGTGTGGACTCGTCCGACGCCCCCAAGACCCACTACTGTGAACTGGCATGAGGAGTTCGAGGACTGGGAGGAATGCTACATCCCGGGGGTGGGCAGCAGCCTCAAAGACACTGTTCTCAAAGCCAGACGTCTTTACGATTCTGATGCCAGCGTGTGTCCGGAGGTCAAAGTCGGAAACATCGTTTGGCCAGAGACTGAGTTTGGGCAACTGAGCCGGGTGAAGTGTCGACGTGGTGATGGTGAGTGTTACGATGTGTTTGTATCTTCGTATGTGGTTATCATCAGTAGTAGTAGTAGTAGTAGTAGTAGTAGTAGTAGTAGTAGTAGTAGTAGTAGTAGTAGTAGTAGTAGTAGTAGTAGTAGTAGCAG